TCGAGTATTATCATGTCTCACTATAAAAGACTGCTGATTTCATAAAACTATTGACTGAGCTGAAGAATGCTGTTCCCCTCGTTATTCAAACGGGGAGTGAGTGAGTGAGTATGGCTTTACGCAATATTCCCCGGCAACATCATGGTGGGTTACACCAGAAATGGGCTTCACACATTATACCCATGTGTGGAATCGAACCCTGGCCTTCGGCGTGACGAGCGAACACTTTAACCACAAGGCTATCCCACCGCCCCGTTATATAAAAGGACATTTGCTTATTTTGGCACATTTCAATCACGAGACGTAGAGACAAGCATCGTGTACTTACAAAAGAAAGTAGATTTAGATTTCAGGCGACGTTAAATGTCATAACTGACAAGATACAAGCACGACAGACAAGGAATTTTTAAAAATGCAGTTTATTATTGTATTACGGGGCAAAATAAGGGCCTAACCATCTTGGGGTCACTGTATAGTAGTTAAGTTAATGAATCATGAAAATGAGAACTGGATGCATTTTGAAATGATACAAGGAGGGGAGCAGTTTGTCTGTGAGAACGGTTTTCGTGGTACACGAAGGTCAGAAAATTTGCTGCGCTGGAGTGAGTGCGTGAGTTTAGTTTAACGCCGCACTCAGCAATATTCCAGCTATATGGAGGCGGTCTGTAAATAGTGAGTGAGTGAGTGAGTGAGTGAGTTGAGTTTTACGCCGCTTTTAGCAATATTCCAGCAATATCACGGCGGGGACACCAGAAATGGGCTTCACACATTATACCCATGTGTGGAATCGAACCCTGGCCTTCGGCGTGACGTACGAACACTTTAACCACAAGGCTATCCCACCGCCCCGTTATATAAAAGGACATTTGCTTATTTTGGCACATTTCAATCACGAGACGTAGAGACAAGCATCGTGTACTTACAAAAGAAAGTACATTTAGATTTCAGGCGACGTTAAATGTCATAACTGACAAGATACAAGCACGACAGACAAGGAATTTTTAAAAATGCAGTTTATTATTGTATTACGGGGCAAAATAAGGGCCTAACCATGTTGGGGTCACTGTATAGTAGTTAAGTTAATGAATCATGAAAATGAGAACTGGATGCATTTTGAAATGATACAAGGAGGGGAGCAGTTTGTCTGTGAGAACGGTTTTCGTGGTACACGAATTTCGAAGGTCAGAAAATTTGCTGCGCTGGAGTGAGTGCGTGAGTTTAGTTTAACGCCGCACTCAGCAATATTCCAGCTATATGGAGGCGGTCTGTAAATAATCGAACCTGGACCAGACAATCCAGTGATCAAAAGCATTAGCATCAATCTGCGCAGTTGGGAGCCGATGACATGTGTTAACCAAGTCAACGAGCCTGACCACCTGATCCCGTTAGTCGCCTCTTACGAACAAGCATGGGTTACTGAAGATCAATATTCTAACCCGGACCTTCACGGGCCCCACTGTGTTGGAGGTTTAAGATTGCTTCCAGTACGTTTGCGTAGTATCTATGAACTTGTCCTGATACTGATAGAAGATAAATTGAAAGTTATGGAAAAGTGGGAAGAGAAAACCTGTATATAACATGTCTCTAATAACTCTATTCTTATCATAGGCTTACGAATGGCATTGTGCTACGAACGTTTTGCGGATCGGGTCCCAGATGTTTTTGTTAAACCTTTTACTACTACTACTACTACTACTACTACTACTACTACTACTACTACTACTACTACTACTGATGATAAACAAAGATGCTTGCAGCTCAGGCACTTGATTAAACTGACTATTGTTAAAAGGCATTTGTGAACATTCTGCAAGATACAACCAGAATCTATAGCATGTCACAATGGGAGTGAGTGAGTGAGTATGCACTTTTAGCAATATTCCAGCAATGGCACGGCGGGGGATACCAGAAATGGATTTGACACATTGTTTCTGTGTGGGAATCGAACCCGGGTCTTCGGCTTTACGAGCCAACGCTTTAACCATTAGCTGCATTAAGAAAGAATGAAAGTATCAAGCCTTCTCAATCAAACATATCATATGTAACAGATGTTTGTGAATAATTAGCTGAATGTGATAGCACCACATATGTTATGATCGTAGATCCTGTATACAGATAATTAAGTGCGTCAGTGTGTCATCCGGTTCATACTACGTTCAACAACATCCACCAGTATTGCAATATAGGCTTCACGCAAGACGTACCGTGGAATCAAGACTTGTACCTGCAAGACTATATCCCTTAACTGCCTGTTGAAAAAAGAGCCTAATAAAGCACAAAGACACCCATATATTTACATAACAGACAATGATGTATACTTGTTGGCATAAGAATAGAACTGGGCGAATAACGAAACCCATGTTGTAAGTACTAACATCAATAAATTAATCCCATCCTCCTCTTTGAAAATGTGGGGTCGATGGGATATCCTAGTGGTTAAGCGTTCGCTCGTCACCGAAAAGACCCAGGTTCGATTCCCCACCTGGGGACAATGTGTGATGCCCCTTCCTGGTTTCCCCCGCCGTGATATTGATGGAGTATTGCTTAAAGCGGCGTACAAACCAACTCACCCATTTGAAATGTGCTCTTTTGTGTGTACTATTTCTACTTTCATTAATCAATACAATTGGTTTGTGTTGAAAAAAATGTAGAATCTACACAGACATGCATACATAAAAAAAGCATATGGAAAAAAACCTGGAGAAGATATTGAAATTAACAGATACAGCAAGCAGGTAGACTCCCTGAATTCTGTTGCTGTTCTTCCACAAATGGCAGTTTAACCATGGATAACTCGAAGTAATGGTATAATACCCGCCAATTTTAACTATAAACCTATTGTCTTGTATCAATACAGAAAAGAATGCATCACGTGTCATATCTTTGAGTGACAATGGTACCAGATGTCAGACCTCCATCTTTGTCTGTTAGATGGCTGAGTTTGTGTGTTGGCGATTAGGTGCCTGGCTCTGAGAGTGTAGGTTCGAATCCCGGATGAGACTCAACCCCTAAAAGTTTTAGAATCTGAACCTAAAAGAGAAAGTGTCATCCCAAGAGGAATTGTGAAGACTTGTAGGCTTGAGAATGTTTCAATTTTTTTGGTCTGAATTTCTGGTTTGTGGGTATACCTCACCACCATTTCCAAGAAGGTGAGCATTACAAAATTGGAGAAAGGTTATCTCCCAAAACGTAGACAGCCATATCTTAGACAGCCATAACTTAGACACTAATGAAGGGGATTAATTAAGACAACACCCATGTCTGAAACGGAACAGTCCTAATTAGTGTTCCTGCTGAGTAGACCTAGCTTGTATTGATTAGTAAATGATATGAACTGTAAAAGGGGGATTAAGTTGAAAGATGCATGATATGTTTTCATTTGAAAACAGTAACCAGGCGCAAGCGATTTGCCATATAGTTCTGACTAACACTCCACAGACTAAATGTCCAAAATGAAATTAGGGTCTCAATTCCAAACTGGCATTGTTTTTATCCAGTCAGATTTCACACAGCCTTACACAAATATTAAGTTTTAAGGCTCTTATCCTTTATAAACGTTCACTTGGGAAATGTGTATTACGAATTACAATAAGGAAAACAGTATTAATATTCCACCAAGAAGAAATAAGTAAAATGGGGAACAGCACGACGTATTTCGCATTTAGAATACTTTCATGAAACCATGACCCAAAGTCTGGCGCGTGCGTGAGTGTGCGTGGCAACACTTATGGACAGGACAATCTGTCAGAACACTACACCCAAACCGGAAGCTGTCGCCATTGTCAACGAATGCTTGCCCAAGGTCTTGCAAGACCTGTTCTTGATTCATCTGTTGTCGCACTTGTCTTCTTAGGTCATTGGAGTGGCTTCAAATATGGGTAGTATGGGAAACAATGTCGTCATGTTGAAATGTCAGTCCAGTGCCATGTAGATTGAAGTTGGTCCCGGGAATGTATGGCAGCAAGATTCACCTGGACGACAATCAATTGAGATCGACCACAGTCCCTGAATACATGAAATGCTGATGCAAACAAACAACTCCATTTAAATTGCAAAGGAACCCCAGTTACCTCAGAAATTCAGAAAATGAGGAAATCAAGAACCTTGCCTCACCTAGGCCCTTATTCTCGAAACGTTCGTAGCCCTACGAATTCTTAACATTGATCGTAGCCAATGTGTTTAAAATGGGCTTAAGAAGTTCGTAGGACTACAAACGTTTCGAGAACAGCTAGCCTGGAGGTTTTGCAATGCAGAAAGGGTTTGGCGGAAAGGAAATAATGTGGTTCAGGGGCTGGGAGACAGACAGCATATGGGCTCTCAGACTATGTATTGTCTGACGACGTCAGCGCAGTACTCGTACAACTGCTGCGACGAAATGTCCAACATAAAGCCTGCCCATGGCACTCAAACTTTGCTGATTTGTAAATCAACTTGCTTTATGATTATTTGATGCATCTTCTTTTCAACAATGTCAGTGTGTTTGCATGGCTAAGTTGATCATGTAACTATTACTCATGGCTTAGTTGATCATGTAACTATTACTCATGGCTAAGTTGATCATATTACTCATGGCTTAGTTGATCATGTAACTATTACTCATGGCTTAGTTGATCATGTAACTATTACTCATGGCTAAGTTGATCATGTAACTATTACTCATTGTTGGTTCACGATTTTTTCATGTTTTGTTATAATGTTTTCGAGTCGGTCTCCACGACCATGTTCAAACAGCTTACATTGTTCAAACAACATTTCAGTTAGTTTTCACTTAAAATGGACAAATCTGCTCTATTGCATTTTGACAAATGAATAGTTTTGTCGGAAGGAGGAAAGGGGAAAAAACTCTCCATTCTCTAAATATAATATTGACGAAGTTGACAAACGAAAACAATATGGACGGATATAAGCACAATAACTATATAATGCTAAATCTTCAAATGTTAGACGTGCCAACGTGTAGCAATGTCGAAAACGTAAATACACTTTTTTTTCTGAAATGCTTTTTATTTGTTATGTCATGAATAACTTGCAAGATACACATTTTTACACAGATCCTGGTCCTGTTTCGTTTCAGCAATGTTCTGAAAGAAAAATATATACATGTTTGGGTAATTGCAGAGCACATATATTTGGCCAACGGTATTTTTTAAAGTTATGTCCCATTTAGGATAATAATTAAACTAAATACACATGCTATAATTTCCCGACGCAGCTCGTCTTCTTGAAACAAAATAATTAAAAATACGTTATGAGTGTCATTACATGTTGCAGGATAATAATGTAAATACTAATGGAATAAAGTAAAGATACACAATCAGTAGGCAGATTGCTGCCGTGTAAATGGGAGGAAAGTCTATGTTTATTGTTGAATGTACCAATGAGCGTTTGATAATCACTGTTGTGCTGTTGGGTAAAAAGACAGGATTTGATGTTAACCGAGTGAAGGATTGGAATTTTATGTTGACTGTGCCATGGAATAAATGGATAGTAACTGATGTTAGCTCTGCCATTGAGTGAAAGGCGGTAGTTTGATGTTGTCTGTATGATTGAGTGAAAGTTAGTTTTTGCCGGTTGTGTCAGTAAAGGAAATGTGAATATTTAGAGTGCACCTTTGTGTCCTCGAGTGAATCGATATTATTTTATTTTCACTGAGGAAAATGTTATCAAAAGCGATAAAATAGAATTTGGAAATTACTGTTTCTTTGTATGAATGTCATTACACGTTGTGGAATCATCATGTAAATACTGATTAACTTAAGTAAAGGAACATTGTAGCCATACAATTTCACTGTCATGTCATGGGGTGGAAATGTATGTAATGGAGAGTGAAAAGTCAGTTTTAAATTTTCAAAAAAGAAAAAAGATAGTATTTAACGTTGATTGTGGTATTGAAATATCAGTATGTTAAGTTGTACCATTGAGTACATGGATAGTATTTAATGATGACTGTGGCACTGAGTGAAAAGCTGGTGTTGATGTTGAGTGTGACATTGAGTGACATTTGTCTTTTTATGTTCATGGTGAGAGAAATATGAGTCTTTTAATTTCACTGTCGTGTCTCAGATTGACATATCGTCATGTGAGTGAAATTGCTGGCAGTGATGTTGCATGTGCCATTGAGTGAAACTTCTCTTTTGTGTTCATGATGAGAAAAATAAGAGTCTTTTTATTTCACTGTCGTGTCTCCGAGTGAAATATCGTCATGCGAGTGAAAATGTTGGCAGTGATGTTGAATGTGCCATTGAGTGAAACTTCTTTTTGTGTTCATGTTGAGAGAAATATGAGTCTTTTAATTTCTCTGTCGTGTCTCCGAGTGAAATATCGTCATGTGAGTGAAAATGCTGGCAGTGATGTTGAATGTGCCATTGAGTGAAACTTCTTTTTGTGTTCATGTTGAGAGAAATATGAGTCTTTTAATTTCTCTGTCGTGTCTCCGAGTGAAATATCGTCATGTGAGTGAAAATGCTGGCAGTGATGTTGAATGTGCCATTGAGTGAAACTTCTCTTTTTGTGTTTATGTTGAGAGAAATATGAGTCTTTTAATTTCTCTGTCGTGTCTCCGAGTGAAATATCGTCATGTGAGTGAAAATGCTGGCAGTGATGTTGAATGTGCCATTGAGTGAAACTTCTCTTTTTGTGTTCATGGTGAGAGAAAAATGAGTCTTTTAATTTCATTGTCGTGTCTCTGAGTGAAATATCGTCATGTGAGTGAAAATGCTGGCAGTGATGTTGAATGTGCCATTGAGTAAAAACTCCTCTTTTTGTGTTCATGGTGAGAGAACTATGAGTCTTTTAATTTCATTGTCGTGTCTCCGAGTGAAATATCGTCATGTGAGTGAAAGGCTGGTGGTGATGTTGACTGTTCCATTGAGTGAAATTTCGATTTTATGTTATAGGTTAGCATTTGATGCACTGCACAGTACTGCGAAATAAACAAAAGGCACGTGCGGGATTACAGCTGGTGTTAGATGCTGATTATGTCATGACGTGAAAGTTTATGTCCATGTTCACGGTTGTGTCAGTGAGAGAAATGTGAGTCCTTACTGTTCACTGTTATATGTTCGAGTGTATCGTTGTTATTTCATTTTGACCGAGTGAAATGTTAGTTCATAATCCAAAACTGTGTTCCACTGGAGATATTCTTGTGAGAACAAACGATATCTCCTAGGAGATACCGTTTTGACAGTAGATTTTGCCCTGACAATGCTATGTCGTCATGAACTTGATGACGTCACAATGCTATGACATCACTGCACTGCAAGTCTAATGGCAGAACTGTGTTCAGAGATTTACATTTTTCATTGAAAACTTATGAAGAGTGAGTTTTGATGATAAATATAATCTCACCCTCGTGTCTTCTGATATCAAATATATCAACACTCGTTGATCAATGTAAAAATATTTGTAACTTTATCAACTCGTGTTGATATAATTGATATCAAAAGACACTTGGGTGAGATTTTCTATTCATTATAATTAGATCTTAGCTTATTGTTTAGTGCACTGCACTCTTTTCCAAAATAAAAATATGATATATATCGATATGCTTACGGTATCGGGCTCAGCAATATGACGGAATGTCGAAGAAGGTGTCGTCCCTGAGGCCTTGATAGAAGTTGTTGTAGCCGACAGTGTAAAGAGAGTTTCCTCCTGGAGAGAAAGCATATATTTCACAGTCAGCAATTTTGCCTTGTTGTTCCACGTAGGAGTGAGTAATGACACATTTGAGCAGCGTTACCTGAATATTACGGGCCCACAGTTGGCAGGCAGTTGGTGAGGCAGTTGGCAGGCAGTTGTTTATCTCACCGTTTATGCTGACATTCATCGTGAGAGACCCCCCGACATTTTGTGGCCTCTCACAATAGTGACCAGTTCGAAGATGGAATACTAGCTCATGAAATATATTGCAGATTTTAGATTGGTCGGTCTTTTATATGCTTTTCGGTCTTTTCGAATTTGCTAAAGATACCTACCGTCATTAAAGGCATTAATTCAACAAATCCAAACAATATTAAAGAACCGAAAAACATAAGTCAGAGTAGAAGTGAATGAACTTAAAAAGATTTCAGTCCCACAAAGTAGAATTAAAACATTGCCAAAACAAACATTAACCAAGAACGGTGGTTTCTTTTGCTTTTCACAGTGTAGACTCGTTCGCCGTTTAATGTTCATTTAGCATGAATCGTACGTGCCATGGCATAGGTGTTCAGATACAGTCTAATTACACTAATTACTGCAATACAGTATCTCACTCTGCATAAGACCTATCAACCCCTTAAAAGTTTTCTTTCGAAAAGAATTCGGCTTGACGTCTCTGTCATCAGAATTTTCGATTTTAACGAACAAAAACCTCAAAATTTCTCTCGAAAGGAAAGGATGAATTATATACCCCCAGCTATCAATCGCCTTTCATTGAATTTCCATGCAGATCTGGTCATTTGACTTCGATGTCGAAATTCAGACAGATATTCTGTTCATGAAGCCTCGTTCGATCGTCATGCCGAAGACACGGATTCGATTCCCCACTTCTGGTGTCCCTCGTCGTAATATTGCGGGAATATTGCTAAAAGCGGCGTAAACGTAAAACTCACTCATTCGTTCTCTCGTACCGAGGATTAAAAGCTCCGGCACGCAGATTTTTTTTGAATTGTAATAAAGAGCTGATTCTAAAGAACTCGGTTCAAAGCTGATTGAAAACTGCACCAACTCTGTCCAAAATTCGCTGAGGCGCCGTCGTCTATTCGAAGGAATGTTAAAAAAACCGGCATCAAAACAAATTCATCCTTCTTTTAAGCATGGAACTGATAAATCCTGAAAAACGAGGAGAAGACGCCAACAGATCCTCCCACGCTTTCTAAATTGAGCTGACACAGCATAATCTACAGACATACTGATCAAACTAGCCTAACAATCTTACCCTTTTCAAAGATTCAGCTCACAGTCAGCGACATTTCTGATGCTAAGTTCAAACCGTGTTCGATCGCTCGCAAATTCATCCACTCACCCAATACCGCAGTCACGCACTAAATCCCCCAATGTGTGAAGTCCATTTCTGGTGTCCTCCGCCGTGATATTGCTGGACTATTGCTAAAAGCGGCGTGAAACCAAAATCACTCACTCACTCAACTCCAGACCCTCAAGGAAGGGTACTGTAGAGTGACTGAACATGCATGCACGTCGTCATTGAGCGAAATATTCTCAAGCACGACGTTGAACCCAATTTCACCTCACCTATTTTCCCTTCCGCCCGGCCCTTTTCTGTACATGTAATGCAGAGGCCCAAATAAAGCAAGTCTAGATTAATGAACAAGTTAATCTCAAATCTCAATGTTGCTGCTTTTGGGTATTAAATCTGATAAGTTGTTTCTTTCAAAAGTATTTATTTTCAGAGACTAAGCGTTCTTTTACATATAATATGTACAAGGGAGTTTGTACAAAAATAACCATCTAATCCACGAAATGTTTGAAATTCTATATGTATGGTTTTTTTTTTATTTATATTCTCTTTTCTCGATCTCTTGAAAAAGTATCCCTGCATGATAGTGGAAATAGCGAGTCATGTCACTCCACACGAGAGGTGAATATCATGACAAATTTAACATCGGGAGACCAAGGTCGACATAATGTTATTTGCAAAGCTAAAAACTCTGCACCCGAATCATGGTTATGTATTCATGTAAGGTTACCAAATACATACCGGCTACGACAATGTCACAAGGAAAACAAAAGCAAAAAAAACCCAAAAAGCAAAAAAAAAAAGCACTCCACCCCCTCACTCACCCATACCAACCTTCGCCGCCGACTGTAGTCGTGGTACTGATGATTGGCACGCAGCCGTCTTTTGTGACGGTAGTCTCGACGATCTGTTGCCTGCCGTCGAAGGCGGTGGTTTTGTAGGTGTACGACAAAGCATTCAGCCTGTTCCGATTGTAGCCGTAAAAGAGAGGGCCCAAAGAGACAGCGCCACCTGAGATAAAAGTTACTTTTTAAGATAGGATGCGACTATTTCGTATTAGGTGTGGAGAAGGTGTAACACATTCCAAAAATGCTCCGAAAAGTGTCTAGTTTGTCAAATCACTGCAGGAAAATATTTACTATATTATTACAAGCATGACATGTGCGATTGTTCTGTATAAACGCTTCATGACATATTGTGGACATGGTTAGAGATGCACCCATTGTTAAATATAACAACTCGCCCTAACATGGCTGCGGAGCCTTATCTGGATTGTAACCTATATGGCACTATATCACACCACACTTCTCTAGAAATAAACAATGCATTCCTCTCAATAATACTATCAGTGCCCAGGGAAGCTCCCATATATTTTATTCTTAAAAAAAATGTATTTAAATTGCAATATTAAATTTAAAAAGTTCGTATGAATTAATGCAACGTTGCATTAAATCGACTCTCGCGCCCTCTACCGGTCGAACATTATTTCAAGCGAACCCCATAGAGTTATGTCCCTTGGAGCGCTCTTTGCGAATATCCTAAGCACAACTTCTGATTAAAAACAGTTAGGCAAACACCGACAAGACCGCGTGCGACAGTTTTCTATGCACGGAGCAATTGTGTGCTTTACCTTACAGTTATTATGTGAACACATGCAATGGGCTGACATCTTACAACCTATCAATGTACTTGAATGTGAAACATCATGATCTTTACTGGTTGATTGTGTTAACTGATTCTTTTACGTGTATACACTGCTGACTTCAACCACTAGTTTACCTCTGCCGTAAAACATTATGCTTTCACTTTTGCTCACTCACTCACTCTACCTATGGGGCCAGAACTAGAACCACTTCAAAATCTTGCGAGTGTTGGAACCAAGCAGTTAGAAAGAAAAGGGCGGGCAGTTCTTTGTAAGTAAGAGGTTTCTGAGCGGATATACACGTTAAGCTGCTGTTAGCTAGCACTCGAGTGATCACGAATGTGTCAGCAGTCTTCTAGCAATACAGAAGAGGCCTGTAAATGATTGAATCTTGACCAGATAAACCGGTGGTTGATAGCGTAATGACACACAATCAATATTTCGATCCGTAAAAGTCACCGACCGTTATAAGTCGTCTGGACTTTTAAAGGTTACTAGGTACCTACTCTGTTTGGAGTCAATCGAGAGATAGAACGTTCAAACATTTGTCTAAATATTTAACAATGACTTACTTGGAACACAGACATTCTCCTGATCCTCGAATTGTCCTTGAACGGGGAATGTTGTACAAAGTTTCGACTCTGTATTGATACTGTAACCAAGCTTCTGCAAACAAATCATTATTATTAAAAGTTCTGCTCAAAGGCAAAAATCATTTTTGACACACAAAGGAATGTTGCATAGTCCACTGAGACACCATACGACAACTTATCCTGGATCCAGTCGTAAAGCATTTTGGAGGTTATCCTTACCTTCTTGTAGTCGTAGATTACTTTGGTGGTCCCTATGAAATTGTTGTCGTTCCGGTTGCTGCTGATGAGGTACCTTTGGTTGGTACCGTCGTAGACGAAGGAATGCAAAGCCTGGAAATATACACTAATATGACTCGGGGATATTTTGAGTTGTCAGTTTGGAAAGATGTAAATTCAGACAATATTTCTTAAATCTCAAATTCTCCGAGACAAAATGATAAAGCAATTGCAGAATCAGAAGCAGACCATTAATCACTTTCCTACAAAGCCCCAACATGATGCTGAAAACCCAAACTAACACGAACAAACTCGAACAAGATAAATGTGCCTCTAACTAACAAAACATATGCATTTCCGCATTACTGATATTCAAAAGTTGTTGCTACTTTCGAAAAATGCACTTCAGGTTTAAAACATCAGTATTGTTTATCTCTCAGACTGACTGACTGACTGAGTTTGGTTTTACGCCGCTTTTAGCAATATTCCAGCAACATCACGGCGGGGGACACCAGTTAAATGGGCTTCACACATTGTACCCATGTGGGGATTCGAACCCGGGTCTTCGGCGTGACGAGCCAACGCTTTAACCACTAGGCTACCCCACCGCCCCTTATCTATCAGAGCAAGACATATTAACTGAAGGCTATCCTGTGCTGCGTTTCCTAATTTGACATATAATATCCAGCTTGAACTTCTGATAAATAGTAATAATATTTCTAATTAAGAAACTTGAAAACAGAAGAGAAAAAACTTATATTTATTAGCCAAATTCATGATCATTCTTAAATTATTTTCATTGCTGTGGAATGCAAAAAGTAAAGCTTATCAGCTTCAGTGCAATTATGTCCAAAATAATTTGCCCGTTGAAGATACACGAGTGCAAATATATTCCACACCGGAGAGATCAAAATATTACCAACATCTCATATCTGTTTTACACCCGACCCGTGAAAGATCCGGGGTATAATAGGTCTTCAGCAACCCATGCTTGCCACAAAAGGCGACTATGCTTGTCCTAAGAGGCGACTAACGGGATTGGGTGGTCAGGATCGCTGACTTGGTTTGACACATGTCATCGGTTCCCAATTGCGCGGATCGATGCTCATGCTGTTGATCCCTGGATTGTCTGGTCCAGACTCGATTATTTACAGACCACCGCCACATAGCTGAAATATTGCTGAGTGCGGCGTAAAACTAAACTCACTCACTCACTGTTTTACACCCAGTGGTGATCAGTACATACTGCGCGGAAAGGCGTTGGAAAATATAAACAGTCTCCAGTTTAAGACACTGCATTTATCACTTTCGTATAATAAATACCCAAAGACGATAATTGCAAAGGACAGTTATTTTTTTAATGTATAGACATCATTCATTTATCATCAGGATATCGCCTAAGACAGTTGCCCCTTTGTTTCCATTTTTCTCGCATGGAGTAGTTAAAACTCAACATAGATAATTATGGGCACATTGTTTTGATGACGTTTTCAGCTAAATTTAGTTGTCACCTTGTCACAAAACAAGGCACTTCTAGGTTCAGTGACTACATAACCTCCACAGCTCATAGCTGTCCGATAGCTGGCACACCTCGGGGCGGTGGGGTAGCCTAGCGGTTAAAGCGTGACGATTACCCACATGTGCACAATGTGGGAATTTCTGGTGTCCTCCGCCGTGATATTGCTGGAATATTGCTAAAAGCGGCTTAAAATCCAACTCACTCACTCACTTGACCAGTTAAGTTCCGGTAACGTTACATCATGACATACATGAATAACGCCAGAGACAGAATTATCCAAACAGATTCAGTTGGGCGTGGAAAGCCAAACCAGCTATATAAATTGAACATGTCACTGAAAATCACGATTGACAAAAGGTGTTCGCGAAAAAGGGTCAACGCCTCCTAATCTATCCGTCTCATACAGCTCTCCCAAGTTTGCTTAAAACATGGATGTTTGAGGCATGACGTTGCATGATATTGCTGGAATATTGCTAAAAGCGGCGTAAAACCCGACACCCACGGCAGAGCGCAGCATCTTGATTCTAATTTTTCATCCTTTTTCAATGTCTTGTCCATACATTTTACTTTACATTCAGCATACATTGTATTGATGAAAGGTATCTCGGAAGTGTAGACTCGCTTATTCGTGTATTGAAGATATTATAGGAACTTTTTTTCATGTACTTTCGGGTCTATCTATGTTATGTTTCTTTTGTGTTTGTCGTCATTTGTGTCACCTTACGAATTGTACATAACCGGTTGTAAATGTTTTTTCGTTTGTTTGGTTGTTTAACTCCGCACCCAGCAATATTCCAACTGTATTACTTTTGAAAACAATCCTGTCTGGACCAGACAATAATGTGATCAACAACAAGAGCATTTACGCAACTGGGATACGATGACATGTGTCCACCATCTTCACGGATCAAATGTGTATTGGTACCTTTGGGAAGCTTATGTTCAGTTCTTCATTTTGGTACTTACATCTTGGTTAACCTGACTTTAAAAACACATTTCCGGCTATTGACCTTCTTCTCAGGAGCACAGCTCCTTGACAATTTCATACAGAACCAAAGACGTAAAGTAACTGGAATTAAGGGAACGTATTTGTTTGCTTACATTTTTACATGCAAACAATATAATCTGATACGCCAGTCCACGTGGTACTGCACAATGCTGCAATAGGGTAGGCTCATGACGAAATAAAGATGCTAAAAGCGAAAAGAAAAAGCTTCAGCGCCACTGAGAATGATAATAATGCCATTTGATTGTGATGTCATGGTGACCGATGATGCCACATATCGATGACATCACAATGGTCTCAGAAACCTACAAGAAGACTCATCGTTCTATCGATTACCGTATGTGCTAAAACAGAAAACATCAGTTAGATTTTGTACTTTGGTCAAAGAATTTTGATAGGAATAGTCTGGTAACATGTCCTCTGGGAGCACGAATCGCGAAGGTCTCTGATTTCATGTGTGATATATAACCTGATGTAATGTCAAAAATAATCAATCAAGAATTGAAGAATAGTAACGAGTGAGTGAATGAGTGAGTATGGTTTTACGCCGCTTTTAGCAATATTCCAGCAATTTCACGACATAAATGGTTTCACACATTGTACCCATGTGGGAAAATAATAATTAGGAACCTGATTTAATTTCCGAAATAATTATGAAGAGTGTACATATAACGTTATATCCCTACGCCAAAATTGTGTGTCTTTGGCGGACAATTAGAAGCTTTAGGAACAAGAACATGTTTATATTGTTTAACTGACATTTACATCAGAACTGTCGAACGCTCCTGCATTTAGAGAATTGGAGAAGAGATTATTTTCATGCAATTATATATTGTTTTGTTTCAGCGAAGGCTTTTTAATATCACACATTTCATTCAGTCTGTGACAAGCCTGAAACAGTGGTTACATACATGTGTGTGACAATCATGGTTGTACTTACACTCGCCGTGGTCCTTGAGTTGACAAAGGTGATATACTGGAACGCGCTGAATTGCTGAGGTGGACAACAGATGCTTCCAGTGGCAACAGACAGGCCAGCAAGGAGTAGTGCTACTTGCAGGATCATTCTGGAAGGGTACTGTTGACGATGTATCTGTGCCAAGTCCTCTGCCAAACCCATCCTGTCAAACACAATTGGAATCTCTTTTATCCACACAGAGAAGCATCACGTGATGCAGCTATAGAGCTCAGATGACATATTTATACAGCATAAAATCCTTTAGAATATAAATAATATGTCATTATTTTTCGAAAAAAACCGACAAAATCTATTCATGTAATACTTATGTGAAGGACAGTAATATCACATAAAAAAGGAACAACCCTCCCAGGTGACAGTCCTGTCAGTCAATGGTCTAGATCTGCCGGATCAAGACATGATTATTCACAGGTTGCCTTCAAACAGCTGAAAGATTGCACTGTGTGTCGCGAATACAACACAATATTCAGCCTGAAGCCCCTGAACATCTGCAGATAAATAAACCAGGTGGTTAGGTCACTGAAACAGTGATCTATGGACGGTTAATTAAAGTCAAGAGGTATTCCTTTCATGTGTTCAAAATATCTTGTGAACATTATCCTGTTTCTGGGAAAATATACAGGCAAGAAATATTTATCAATTGAACTGAATACGAACTTATAATCTACCGATATATCCTGAAGTTCTATATCACACATGGCTTAGCGATAGGTACGCTGTGATGCAAAACAAGGAAGTCTGTTTCAGCTGACACACTAATATAATATGAAACGCCGTTGAAAACGTTGAAAGCAATTTACTTACTCAGTAGCCAGGCCAAAAGAAAGAAAAGAGTCTGTCTGGAAGCAAGTTTTGTGCACAATCAAACTTGAATTGTAACTGAATCACAAACTTGAATTGTCACTGAATCCCTCAGCCAGAGCAGTGGGCAACTAACCGCTCTATTCCTAAAATAGAAATGCTTTGCGTGTATCCGGTATAAGGATATATATTTTTATTTAAGTACAGTTTTTCTGGTATGTGTGTAAGGTAGGAAATATATTTGCAAACTGTCATCTCAATGCTTAGTTGTCCCGACTAGGATTACAACGACAGATTGCTTTCCCCGCTAATCTCCCTGAGATTTCAGTGTGAAAGAAAAAGAAGGTTGCTCAAAGACACGTGTGTGAATGTGACTCGTGTTGACCAGTTGACTGAAACTTATTGAATATTGAACCCATAGGTGGAAACGTGAAGCTCTTTCATTGAATATTTTGACAGGGGAACAAGATTTTGAGACTTTAGAAAAATCAAAACCGAGAATTAGTTTCTTTAGCTGTTTGTATTAAAAGGCTAAAGGACTTGGATATGAGAACGATAACGCTATGTTTATGACAAAATCCGAGTGTTGCTGCATGTTCCATTTATCACTACATCGTTATTTGTTTTTGTTTGTTGTTTAACGCCGCAATATTCCAGCTTATTGGCGGCGGTCTATAAATAATCGAGTCTAGACCAGACAATCTAGTGATCAACATCATGAGCATCGATCTATGCAGTTGGGATACGATGGCTTTGTAACATGAGGGTTGTCATGCAAATTAAGAAATTAGTGTAAAAGTAATAGCTTTTTCATGTCAGTTGTTGAAGACCATGAGCCGGCGTTGAGAAACAGTTGTGACAGGTGTATCATGTATCTTCAAGTACACCAACACGCTCACCATCACGGTCGATAACACACACACACAAGCATAGGTTCACTCACTCACTGACTAACACACTCACCAACAAGCATACAAACACGTGTGGGGAGGTGGGGTAGCCTAGTGGTTAAAGCGTTCGTCCTTTACGCCGAAGACCCGGGTTCGATTCCCCACATGGGTACAATGTGTTGAGCCCTTTTCTGGTGTCCTCTGGTGTGATATTGCTGGAATATTGCTAAAAGCGGCGTAAAACCATACATACTCACTCAAAACACATGAACATGTACAAACAATCGCAACCACGCACACCAAGACAATCAACAATGACCTCACTGTAAACAAAAGCGACGTCAGTTGTTTTGGGCAAAGAATGCATTATCAAGAAGTAAAAGTGACAGAAAGTAGGGAATATAAGCGGTGTATGAATAAATATGTAAAGCATAACGTGCATTTTCTCAGAAAAAGTTTTCGAGACAATATTAAAGCGTCACCTAGACATTATTGGTTTTATTAGATGTTGGAGTTATTACAGAGAATGAAGTACTGTCGGCTTTAAACGAACTGAAGAAAAACAAAACACCTGGCTTAGATATGATACGAAACGAATACCTGATTGCATCATCGCCTTCATTATTAGCTGTATATACTGACTTTTTCAATTTGATATTAAATACTGGACTTATTTTACCCGAGGCATGGCTTACAGGTATTATTAAGCCAATATATAAGAAAAAAGGGAAACGCCGATGATCCAAATTCATACCGTCCAATTTCGATACTTAGCTGTTTCGGCAAGCTATGTACTTCCATTCTCCATGAACGACTGACCAAATTCTGTGAAAACTTTGAAATCATTTCCCATTCGCAATCGGGCTTTCGCAAAGGATTTTCAACAGCAGATAATGTTTTTATTATACAGAGTCTTATTACTTCGCTGCAAAATAGACACAAGACGTTATATTGTGCTTTCATCGATTTCTCTAAGGCTTTTGACAAGGTGTGGCGGGCTGGACTTTGAACAAAACTATTACGCTGTGGGGTGAAAGGTAAAATATTTAATCTTATCCGAAATATGTGTTATGAGATTAAATCATGTATTATGATAAATAAGATGAAGTCAAGCTTCTTTCCATGTCTATCGGGGGTCCGTCAAGGAGAAAATTTATCTCCTCTACTTTTCTCATTGTATCTTAATGACCTTGAAGAATATCCAACTTGTAATCGGTGTGATGGTTTGAAGCTGGAATACGATAATGATCACTTGACTAACACCTTAAACTTTTAGTGTCGCTTTATGCTGATGACACAGTACTTTTAGCCGAAAGTAACTACCATCTGCAGACTGCACTTGATTGGTTTTCACGTTATTGTGATTTCTGGAAACTTGAAGTTAACTCAGATAAAACTAAAATACTTATATTTGGATCGGGTTCAGCGGGCAAAAATACAAACAAATTCCTCTATAATCATTGCCACCTGGAAATTGTTGATACCTTTAAGTACCTAGGAATAACATTACCGCTATCAAACACGCTGCAGATATGGGTAATAAAGCCTCAATGTCTTTATTAAAACGAGCGAGAAATTTACGTTTACCTTTGGATTGTCTTCTCTGTTCTTCCGGTCTTACTTTACGGTTGTGAAATCTGGGATTTTGAGAACACTAATTGAACGTGTACACTTGAAATTCCTAAAGCTTGCGGCAGGTCTGAGGATGTCAACTCCCAACTATATGGTTTACGGTCAATTTGGGAGAGAACCGTTACCCATACAAATAGATAAACGTGCTATAGCATACTGGTGCAAGTTATCATGTCCTCATCCTACCAATAAAATTGCCTCATTTATGCTAAATTACATGATTAGTAAACGTACACATGGCTATTCTTATCCTTGGTTAAATTACATCAAAGACATTTTCAAAACTTGTGGTATCCCGCATTGTTTTGAATATCTACATCTTTTTTCAAAAGAATGGTTAACTGCAAAAGTGGTTCGAACTTTAAAGGACCAGTTTTGGCAGTCTTGGAGAAGTGTCACTTGGGATTCCCCGAAAAGTTTCTATTATTCCATTATTAAAGATAGACCATGCTTTGAAAAATATTTATTACTCCCAGATAGCATTTATAAACCTTTACTGTATTTTAGAACAAGTAATCACAAATTGCCTATAGAACAGGGTCGCTGTTGGAACATTCCTCGTGAAAAGAGATTTTGTACATTGTGTAACTCTCAACAAATTGGCGACGAAGTCCACTATTTATTTAGATGTAAAGCATTGGCGAATGAACGTTCTTCTTTTATCAGTGATTATTATTATAAATGGCCTAACATGTCAAAATATAAGCAACTTGTTGGGAATAATAAGATACATGTCCTGAAAAAAACTGTCAAGATTTCTGAATGTTGTGTATGCCATCTTGCTGTAATTTCTATATAACTATGTGTAAAATGTAACTCGTGTACCAGCGTTTGTGGTTCCTTTGAGTAATTACTCTCACTAACACGTTCACCAAGGCACTCACCAAAACAATCAATAACGAGAAACGATTACTCTCACTTACAATTCTGTCCATTTATTCTAAGGAATCACCCACGGTGGTACAGGAGAACGGTTTTCTTAACATGAAAATAATTAGTACTTTACAAGATGTCGGTTATATTGTACAAATGATTAGCGACATTAAGATATATTATGAGATGTGAAAACAATTATGAATATTTAAATATATGCTGATAAATATAAAATCTGGTGTAGAAGCTCGGCACACAATATATAGAACAGTGGCGGATCCAGAAGAGGGGATGTGTTCAGGGGGTTCGACCCCACACCTTTTTGAAAATGACTTAAGATCACATTGAAGATTATCTTTTTGCTGTTGGCGGAGCCAATGGGGGTTCAGGGGTTTCTGTGGGAATTCGTTCGGTATTTCGTGTTAGTAGTTAGTAGGGCTTTTGCCAAACTCCGGTACTCATTATGGTCCAATGCCCGTGCTTCAAACAGTTCAAAATTAACACTGAGGTGTTCGGTAAGATAAATACGTTGTTCATTGGTCCCCCGGGGCCCATGGGTTGATGTACCCTCTATGTTTGTTTCAGGGAACATAAACAAACATAGAGGGTACATGAACTTTTATCTTACCTCACACATAAATGTCGCTTTCTGATTGGCTCTTCTATTTTTTCAATGTACCCCGCGAGTCAATGGCTACTCATTTGGTACTTCGTGGTAGTAATTCTATATCTCGAATAACATTGAATCACGTATGATGTACGGAAATTACCGATGTTTTGCGAATGGAAATCGATGGAAGGGAGATAACTCTAAATCCGTTTTTCTTGTCAGCAAAATCTAGCGATGGCAACAAAAGGATTTGTACCCGTGGTTCAAACAATTCAAAATTA